TTAATACTCTTACCTGCGTGCGGAGAGATCATCTTGTGTGTAAGGTGGATGAGCAGAGGCAGACAAATTGAGGACCGGTTTATTTCTTCCCAGTGCTTCTTTCTTTGGTTTACCTTTTTTGTCCCTACCCTTCCCTCCATTTCTTGCACACCGTTCTCCAACTATAAATTCAGCATATAACTCTCATTATATCCACATCCCATTTATTATTGGAAGCCTATATATATGCGGTGATGATGCGTTTTTCTCTTTTTTCGTCACCAGAGCAGTTCCCTTCTGCCTTGGTGTCAATTGGTGATGTTTGTATCGCCAAATGACCCTTTCGCAAATCCTTTCAGCATCTTCTAACGTGCGCGACTCTGAGGACCAGAATGACAGATTATCATGTTGATGCAATCCGTTTAATTTACGATGGTAGAAAAGTCAGTTAACTCGGTATTAGGCAACACTAGCAACAAAGTGCAATTAATCGCATATTGACCTTGCTGGTGGATACATTTTGCATGGTGTACAAAAGTGTTTTTGCACAGCCAATATTAATCTCTTCCACTGAACAGCTGTGAACACGGCAAAATGTCTGTCAATTGATCATGCAAATTCGCCAACACCAAACCCATGCAGCATAAAATCAATATAAAATCCCCGAAGGGGTATCAGAACTTAAACAATAAGGTATGACAATATTTCACGATGATATGTCTCAGAATTGCAGTTAAACCTGAAACGCTCAGCAAAACTCAATCATGTGGAGCACTTTATCTCGCTTAACTTCATTTAGCTGAAAGTGGGTGGAACTGAATTAATTGCAATTTGTATACCTTCCAGTGAGATGGTAGACAATATATTTTTTCAATAATCACTTTGGCACTTCCAACGCGAAGCGACTTGTCATCTTTTATTACTTGATCACGCCTTGAATTGGTGGAGCTAAATAGAAATGTAATGATTTAAGATAGGCTCTTGAAGACTCTCCATATATCAATTACTCTGTTTGTATATTTTTCCAATCTTGTGTTCTGAATAAACATTTAGGTGGCCGAAAGCTTAAATCGCTTACTAAATATTGCGAGAAGAAACCTGTATCGAGCACACAGACAGGTCTAAGTCCCTTCGATGTTGGACTTTCATTTCTTTTTGCTCTCTCAACACACGGAAAGTTGGGGCCTCAGAGTGGATATTGAATTAAAATGAATGGCCCATAAAGACATCGTACGAGCAAGTAAGTATTAAGTACAAGATGGGACAAACACAGTCCTTTGGACATACTGAAATGACGGTGATTTCGACCTGGTGTAATCTCCGAGGCGGAGGCAGGCAATTAAAATCTCTGAATTAAATTAAAAGCACACAATCTGGGCGAGATGATAATACAATAAAAGGCCATTTTATGCTTCTGTATGTTGACTCCGATGAGGTGTGCACACATTTGAACTTCATATTTGTTATGTATGCTATGGGCTTTACAATAAAATACAATATAAATTCTGGAAAAAATGAGGAAAGAAAAGCCTGTAGTAAATAAAACGTCCAATCTTGCAGTAATACTCTTTTCTCTCTCCTCCTTTGGTGCGTTCAGGTGTTATATTCTTGCATCTCGAGAGTCGTTTCAGAGCTCATTTAAAATTCAATCCGTAACGAATGTGTGGGGCTACTGTATTACCCACACCGAGACTAATTTCGTATCATAAAAAACAGCTCGAAAGCATCATTTTATTTATACGCTACACGTCTGGAGGAGGCTCTCCTCGAAAACTGGTCTCTTCGGTATCATAGGCTGCTGCCAAGAGGAGCGATTATTCTCTGCTTTATATTCCAGCGCTTACACATATTGTATATCCTCATGCACAGAGGATTATTAACACCGGCCCATGTGAGCGATGGTGAGGTGGATTCGAGGAACGATGACCAAAACCGCAAGTTTTTGCTCATGCCAAATGTGTGTTGTAAGTGAAAAAGGCGAGGATGATGATGATGAATTTTGAATGTTACCAATGGATGTTCCTTGGGGTCTGGATTTGTGCCATATAAAAAAAAAATATGCAAAGAGTGACGCAAAATTACGTGGAACGAAATTTTCTCATCTAATACCCTTGCTAGACTGTACAAATCCCAATCTTCTTTTATTTCATATACTTTGGCGTGTCTGGTCGACTGTAAAAGCCGTTCGAAGATTGACCGTCCGACCACAGTTGCTAATTTTGTAATGTAATTTCCGCACATTCTCTTCCCGATTCAGCTCTTAAATAGTTTTCAATATCGCGTAGATTTTACAAAGTTTTAAATCCCTTCAGGAATTTAATAGGTAAAATCTCTTATTTGATGGGAGTTTGCATTTCAGTTTCACATTGATCCTTATTTCAAGATTACAATCTCTGATTTCTCAGTAAAATTCTATTCATATAGTCATGCAATCTTTCAGAAAGTAAGAAATTTTGAAGAGTTACAGGAGCTACTCTAGTGGCAATATTCTCTGAAAGCCATCTCGAAAAGTAATCGCGGTAAGCAACTCCTGAGCCGCGAGTTACTCCGCAGAATATTTTATAGAATTTTCTCCGGTGAGTACAAATTGAAATGTGGGCAATGTCTGTAAATCCTCTCTTTATGTTGCTAGTAAATTCAATTATTGCACTCATCCTCTGCCTCTGATTCTATCCGCAGCTTTACGTGTAAATTCTTAGCCATCTTTTGCCACCTCCTCAGAGAGAAGCAAATCCTCTCACCACGGCCGCAGTCACAGTGTCGAATGTACTTGAACTTGCACTAATCGTGTATGAGAGACATTATGCCGGTTGCACTTTTCATCCACGACAAAGTGTAGTGGTTTAAATGCGTTGTGACGAAAAAGTATTAAAGAACAGTGGCGACAAAATAAGATTAAATAAATTAGATGTTCATTTTGAGCAGCCAAGCGGTAAATTTGCAGAATATTGTCATTGGATTGTGTGGCAATTCACTTTTTTACGCTTTACCGTGAATTCTGCGAAAACCAAGCATCACAACAAAAGTATATTCGACCTGAGGGTGGTCACAAGGAAACCGTGGGTAATGGACTGAACTGTCTGTAAGCGGTTTTTGCTGTGAAACCATTTCATCTTTCACAATTATTCACCCTAATTAATCACTCACGGATGCAAAAAAATGGCTCGATATGAATCACATTGATATGCAAAGAGTGACACCATTGCTGAAAGGAGAATAATAAAGCAAATAAAAATATCATATAATTTTTTGCTACCACGTCTCATGTGGAGAAACACGAGAAAGGCGTGAAGCTTTTAGCTTGCAGAAAGCTCAACAAAGTGCAAAGGAGGGTCGCGCAATGTGCCAAGTGTACAGGCACGACTCGGGATATGTAAACAATTGTTTACCATTTTAATATCAAGGTGTCAAGTCACAATTCCCTCGACTAAAGTAACTATTGTCGCTGCACAAATATCCATTTACAACTCCAGAAGATTGAGAACTGTCAATCTCTTCTAGACACTATTCTATACTTTGCTGTTGCGTTTTTAGTTCTATAGGGTGGTGATCTTGTTGTTGTTGTCCCGTTCCTAAGTAGGTCGAAGGTAAATCAAATTTATACTTAATATGTCTCTACAATATGCTTTGGATTTGGTCACTTGTAAGCCCCTGTTTTCATTGTAGTGCACGATCAATAAATTTCCTTTGCTGTGAAGCCACGATAAAAAAGCGATAGATAAACAAAAGGTAATATTTAAAATTTATTTATGCACGTGAATCGTCACGAGTTATCCCCGGCGGCGACCCAATAACCAAGCAATCACAATTCTGCGACACACGATAAGTTGAAACAGCTGATTTTGCAATTGCACATGAGTAGTGGCTCGGTGTTTTATGACATGACCACACGCTGGAAGTGGAGTAATTTGACGTTCGCGGCAAATGCTTCCAGCTCTTTTGCCTACACTCCGCGCCGGACACTTGAGAGGTGCACATTTAGTGCTGTTTTGAAAATCTCTCGGTGGACACACCGTCATAATTCAGTGGCCCAATTTCTACACTTAATTGGTTGCAGCGCGTGGCCGCTCGTTTGCCTACCTACTAGTACAATTTTCCGCAAAAGTCAACCTCCGTGGCTGTTTTTACTTTTCATTGCAATTATTTTCATTTTCATTTCACATCCAGTTGCAAGTCGGTGTCTATGCCAAGCGCTGCCGCAGAGCCGGAGAGTATTCTCGCCGTGGCAGCTTTTTCTGCACGAGGCATGACGCGATTTGCGCGGTAGCGAGTTCACCGTGAGGTCCATTGAATTGGTAAGTATTGGTCGCTCGTGCGCTATTCACTTTTTATCTTGATTTTTTGGGATTGGTTTATTAGTTCTAGCTCGGCGATATCGATTGCCTTTTTGCCGTCTCGATTTACCACGAGATACAGCAAATCGCGATTAGTTGACATGACTTCAGGTTTTATCCCTTGCATGTGGTGAAGACTAACACCACCAGGCTGATGTCCAATAGTAAATCCACCATATACAGCACTGCAGAAGTAAGTAAATGAATCAAAGTACGGCGTGAGTTCAACTGCCGAGACCTTGAGGTGAAAACATAAGTGCATTTATCGAGTATTTGGACACCGGGCAATCGATGCCAAAACGAGCTAATAGATAATTTATTTGCAAAATTACGTCCTTATTTAAATGAAAATTGCTACTCTGAGTCTAAGTACCTCAGATGTTGCGGGTCGATTGAGTTAACCTGGCTGAATAGTCTCACGAACGTGGGCACAATGTTTATGTTTTGACTCTGCTTGAGCCCACAATCATTTAATTACACGACTCAAATGATAGTTGACACGAGCTTATAATTATATATAAATTAATGCGTTGTTTGCTACACTTTTACCGTTTCACTTCATTTTCACATTCGTTGAACAGGTGAAAATTATCACAATTTTCAGTTGAAAAGCAGCTCTGCAGATGGAAAAGTACCAGAAATCCAGTAGGTTTAGTTGGATAACGATGTGTAAATTATTTAGTTTAGATACACATATTTTTTGCTGTGTCTTCTTTAGAAATCCTCCTCAACCAATCCAGTGATACTTTTCACACGGCCGTTCGCTACATTCTTCTGATAGGACAACTTTTCGCCATCTTTCCGGCATCCGGCATTCTCAACAAGAACTCCAAGAAAATCAGATTTAGATGGATATCTATAAGGTCATTCTACTGCTCCGTTCTTATACTGTTCCAAATACTGAATTTTCTACTCGCACTACGGAGATTAGGAAAGTTGGGTATAAGCTTTTCAGTTTTCGCAACTGCATTTTTCTACTTCGTAACTCTCAGCGGTTCAGTAATCCTGTTTCATTTGGCCCGAACTTGGAACAAGATTGTAAGGAGAATCGAAAGAACTGAGATAACCTTTCTCCATGAACCGTATCACCAAGTCGGATGGCCTATGTATCGGAAGCTACGGCTAGTTGCTTCGCTACTTATTCTAGGAGCTGTTCTTGAACATGGCATGTACTTTATGGCAAAGTTTGTAAATTCTAGGACCCAACTGAAGCAGTGCAATTTGAAAGTTCCAATTTACGAACACTACCTGAAGACAGAACGGAGACACATATTTTCTGTTTTGCCATATCACATTGCTTTGGCATCGCTCATTGAGTGGTCAAACATTTGCAGTACTCTTTGTTGGTCCTTTCTTGATGTCTTCTTGACGCTCTTCAGTATTAGTATGGCTTATCGCTTTAAACAACTCAGCGATAGAATGAAAAGAGTTCGCTTCAAGGTAGGATATTTTTTAGATGTTGTTGAAAATTATTTTTCAGTGCTCTTTGTCAATTCCAGACCAATCCCGATACCTTTTGGATTGAGATCCGATCCCACTTCACGGAACTTACAATGCTACTGAATTATCTGGACAAGAAACTATCTAATCTGATAATGCTGATCTGCGGTAGTAATTTATACTTTATATGCCAGCAACTGTTCAACAGCTTCGAAGTACCTCCTGATCGTTTGAACACTATTTACTTCTGGTACTCCCTCATCTACATCATTACCAGAACATTGACGATGCTCTTCTTTGCGGCATCGGTCAATGAGGCCGCCAAAGAGCCCTACCAGATGCTGAAGGCTCTGCCGCATACATCGTGGAGTGTGGAGATCCAGAGGTTCTCCGACCAACTAATAAGTGAAGTAATTGGATTCTCCGGCAAGCGATTCTTCTTCATAACACGCACACTAATTCTGGCGGTAAGCTATTCCCTCTCTGACTGATTGCCTAATTTAATTATCTGCTTCTCATTTGTGGTGTCAGCTAATTGGTACGATTGTCACTTACGAACTCGTGCTTTTGGATCATGTGGCCGAGGCGCCAGAAGTTATCCAGCGGTCATGCCATGTTGCTTACATCGAGTCCAATATGACAAGCTAATCAGATGCAGCGCGGAGACTCTCTAAGTCAATTTCCGACCAACATCCAGCATTGAGCTCAATGTCATCTCTTGGATTAGTGCAGCACTGCAGCATGAAATGCAAGAAATAGTGATAATTATGAAATTGCATAAAATATTGCATTAGTGCTCGCGCGCGCAATTACTAAACGCTTGCAGTGTTTTGCCAGCATATTTAAGAAATTACCAAGAGATCGCCACTCTTCGCCGGGACGCAAAGTGGAAAAACGATTTTCTACGGCAAGCGACACTGACAAAAAAAAATGATCTTGTGGACATGGGTGAAGAACAACAACAGCGACACGGTGTAAAAATGCTCTTGCTGCTGGTTTTGAATTTCAGATAAAACACAATTTGCGGTTAGATGGTGCAATTGTTTTTTATTGAATTTCGTTGGCGTGATACGGAGAGAGGGTGTTTCTTGCCCGCCAGCACATCGTTGCTGCGCATCAGTCATTGGGCAATTGAACTAATTAAATTGCAAGCAACTCTTCAGCAAGAACTCGGTGTCCTTTGGCAAGTGATAGGCTAGATGGTTTGAGTTTTTTGTCTCTTAGCACACTAATAGCGGTAGAATTCATTGTGACTGTTGCGTAATATTCTCAGTACTCTGTCAATGTACATTTAATTTCTCAATAATATTATTTAATAATATGGTAAGTAAAGCATAATATACACCTTATACTACTTGTACCATAGTGCATGTGCAAGCGCTTCTCGTTGGTTAAGGTAACTTGGTAGGGAATTTTCTTTAAAATTGCAAATCTTTCGAGCTCAAATATTCACATAGTTATCAAGGAAATCTCAACGTGATTTAAATTTAGGCTGAACTATATCAAGGTATTGCAATCGTAACACAAACTAGAATTTATTCCTGAAAAATTCATAAGTTTCCTATAAATTTCAAACCTCAAAAATGCACATACGATCTCGGAGTTCAAAACATTAAATCTCTTTCCTTGTCTTGCCCAGTGTCTTTCGTCTTAAGCGCGGAGTTGGTGTTCTGACTCGCGTACATAATGCTTGGTTATATCTGATAGGCACATAAGTGCATGACATATACACTAGGTGCTGGTAAATAATATACGTGAAAACCTGTTGGAGGCACACGTGCGACTTGCGGCTTAAAAGTTCACGTTTTCCTCGACATAATCCACAATGATGATGTTAAAATGGTCCATGGAGGATGGTTTTCTTGAGTGCTTTGTATGCTCTTGGTGCGACGGAGAGATATCGCGAGTCTTGTGTTTAGGCCAAGAACAGTAGTTCCAAACCAATAAAATTAAACAGCAATGACCACACGATCTCGTGTGTAATACAACGACGTGCTTGTTCACTACACACAGAGCCATGACGAAAAATTAATAAGACCAACACTATCGGGCCCACAATTTGTTTATAGTTCAGTCGAAGGGGCATTTCATTTCATAACCTCTCAAGTGACAAAAATCAATAAATCTCGCTATTATGCATTGACTGAGCATTGGCAATTTTTCCCGCCAAGACTTTTGCACTTAAGCGTCACTCGGTGCACATTAGAACGTGATATAATTGGTTTCACGATGAGATTTAATTACCCCGCAATTAAGAAGTGAAATTGAACCCATTAATGAAATCTGCCTTAGGTGATCACCGCACGTCGCCACAGTCGCGTTCTGCAGCTCTTGTCATCGTGATTTTTTCCACCAACACTCTTTCTCGTCCACTCCTTGCCAGTTAAAGCGTCTGTTGCTTGCTGAATGTAAATATATGCATATTAAATATCAAAAGTGATGGCTTTTGTACGCTGTGTGAATCTCTTTAGAAGTCAGCTCTGTGTGTGCAATTGTCCGGTCCAAAGTAATCGCTATGGTGTATCCTGGAAAATTTGTATGCACGCAAGAGCGTTGTCCGCTTCTTTCTTTTCTGCCATATCAATAGTTTTGTGGTTGTCTTGCTGGTGATCGTATCGATTGTAAACAAAAAGAAGTAAATACAAATTCAGCACCACACTGTGAGCAACGTGTTTGAAATATTACCATATATTCTCAGCCTAGCATGGAGGAAATGGGGAAATTTTATTCATTGGATTAGAATTGATGCGCAAAGGCATTGGAGAAGTTGAACTAATTGTTCCATAATATCAAACTAATTTCCATAAGAAGTCATTGAAGGTGAAATTTTGAGACATTGTCAAGTTACTTGATTACTTATCATATTATTGTTGAAAGTAAAATCTTCACATATCGCATTTATGAGAATATGAAATTTGCCCGACACCTCGATAACTGTCAATAGCTGTAGTCATTTTATCGTTACTCGTGTGAGTTCTTTTGCTGTTTAGAATCAATATGGACAAATAGAATAACATACACGAAGATTGCTTTTATGGCCAGAAATTTTTATTCCTTTTCAAACATGTCAAGCAGTGATATGCCTTTCTCTACAGTGTTTTTACTGTGGCTGCGTTGTTTTCATTTACTCCAACCCAACACTTATTCGTGTGTGCAAGTGTTTTAAAACACCTCAAGAAAATGTTTACATTGTGCTGACAGACTGATCGAAGGAGTATTATTGTGTTTTATTGCTGCATCGTTAATAATGCTCAAAATCAAAACATTAGGAAAATTATCCATGTCTGCCACTAATGTCTATAACATTGCCTTCACATGAACATCGTGTTTATATTCTGTACACAATTGATAAATTTCCCTCTGCGTTGTCAAGAATTAATAATTACTTTCGACTCTGTATTCCACTCGTAATCAATTCCATTCAAGCCCTTACACACTTAGAATGTGACGCTCTCCCAGACTATGACCCTAGATTAGGCATCTCTGCCTTTTTTTTTGTCAATTACTGGAGAGTCAGTGAAAAAAGTTGTGTATTTATTTTAATTGCATATGGCGCCAGAGAAAAATCACCCTGATTTTTGAGTGCAAAAAAACATGACATTGAATTCCAAAATACAGGGAGAAAAAATTGTGTGGGGTTAAAATTAACCACAAGAGACGCGTTAATTTTTTTTGTCCAGCAGTGCTTCACCCGGGAATTAGACAGTCGAGTTGAGAGTGTCAACAGAAAAATATTGGGGAAAACCTCAATAATTTTGACAATTTATTGCCATTCGGCGAGTGTAGATATCAGATGACAGTTATTAGGTAATTTTCGATTGAAAAATGATTACACTGGCGTTCATTTTTCGACGCTTTTGTATCACTTCAATTTATAAGGGGTTGCATTGTTGAGTAGTTGTGAGTTTATTATTTATTGGATGTTTTGAGAGTGTATGATTTTTTTGGACATGGCGTTTTTTGTGGTAAATCACAAGAATAGATCCTTCAATGATGCCCTGAGTGAAAATCGTCGATGCGAAGTGGCCCATTGTGTCTTCCATGCCATTTATTCCTCTCAATACCGCCTCCGATGAGGCCATTTTCCTCCATTCATTTGTCCAGATACATAGAGGAGTGATAAATTTCCACATACACTGTAACAATTTCTATGAGTTTGACTGGCGCGATTGAAATGTAAGTAAACAAATGATACTGTCAGGCTAATTAGGTAAAATTGCCAGTATATCATTTTTGCACTCAATTAAGGCAAATTGTTTGTGCGCTATAGACTTTCACAGCAAGGTGGATTTATAATATTTTGCCTTCTAATTTGCGATTGCGAAATTGCAACTGACAGTAATAAAAAGATATTCCACAATAGAATCAGCTCAACATAAGATTTACTGTAGTAAATGTAATGAAAAGCTCTCAAAATACGAATTATATCGGAAGTCAAATCTCAACTTGCAAATCCGAACTGCCTCAAACTGGCTAACAATTTAGCAAAGAGCTAATATTCTCAGTAATTCACGATAGGTGGACAAGTTAAATGCACTAGAGTCAGCACACATAATTTGTATATTTATGTTCGAGGTGATTATGAAATACGTGGAAATTTGCGTCGTAGCTGAACTTGCAGCACCTGCATCTCATGCATTTCTCTCATTTCTGCGCCGTGGCCCCATTAAGACTTACGTGCTACTGGTACTCCCTGACCGCCACTTTTGATTTCTTTCCTAATCATGGGCGGATTTCCCGTCTCTTCTGCGCCTCTGTCACTTGATTTATCTCCTTGTCTTGCCTATATGGTTATGAATTTGATTTTCCAAGCGCAAATCTCAGGCAGATTCGGCGCCGTGAAAAATGTCTCCACTCAATCATCTATGTCGATATGAAAAGCAAATTTCCACAACCCCTGGCGTTCCATCAGTTGCAGAGATGGATTGAACCCCCTTCCCTGTGATGGGCAACAATAGAGCACTGTATTTATGACTGCGCGACACTGTGGACAATTTTTCTTCCGTTTCAAATCGCCATTGGCCGCAAGAGTATCTCAAACAATGGCCGGAGATCCTTCATGCTTTTTCACAGTGGCTTCAAAACCTAATAGAGGGAAATATTTTCAATGCTCACTCGCCCCTTTCCAGCATCCGCAAATGCCCATGAAGGGTTTTTCACCCTGATTGAGATATGTGTATAGTGGAATTTTTCAAGGATCATTTCATTTCACATATTTCAAGTCACTATCTCAAACAATACCCCCTCAATGCAGACCCTTTCCGCCCTTTCCTCGCTGAAAATTTCCTCACATATCAGCCAAAAAAAGAATTCTAGATGCCTGCAAGGGTAGAATCTTATCGCCACCTCGAGTGATTCCTTAAGTGGCCTCTTCATGCCCTCTGCAAGTCTCCATTGCTGCTTGTCCAGCTCGAGGGACACTGCGGTCCATGCAAATGATGGCTTTGACGACCCCAATTGCAGACTCTCGATAGGGGTGAAAAAAGTGCAGCAGCTGTCAATAGTGACGATGCATTGGATGGGTGAATATTCAATATTTCATATCACATCAATGGATGAACGTAAAATTCGACGTGGTGATGCACAACGCCTGATAACACCTTTACGCGTACAATTAAAATCCATTGTACAGACAAGGGTCGGAAGATGAGGTTCCAGTGATGTACAGGGTGAGCGTAAAAAGTTTCAAGCATCCGCCTAACTTCGATTCGAGTATACTTTTTAATGAAAATCCATATATGACTTAATAGTTTATGTTTAACGCAAAGACTTTTATCGATGACAATGTGAAGTTATATTAACAAAATAGAATCATGGTGTACATGTTTCATAAACTCTGCCACACCCTTCACTAGGAGCTATAAATTTTTACGATTCGCCAAATTAAATTACCTCTATCGCTGAGTTTTATTGATTTTCATTAGTACCACAACTCCGATGCATCCGCTTCCTCGCTGCAAAAGAGGCACTTTTGCGACTATTACTCTGGACATCTGCAAGGGATGCATGAAGCTAATAAAAGTGCTGGATTAATGTCTAATCAGGACATCTGAGAAGACGTTAAATTGACGATATTTAGTGGTGAGCTTCAATATTTTGACTTGTCGTGCAAAAAGGATAGCGAAGAGCAAGGATATGATCTGAGGGGCGGATGAAAGCTCATGACATGATCGGAAACTTTATTATATTGTGTTTATTGAAATAAAACCAACTGGTCGCTTGGCG